ATGGAATGTCCACGATTAGACCAATTATGCGATGAGGACAACTTACCGTGGTGTATTTTTCATATGGACTTAAATCCTAAACAATGTACATTTTATAAAGTTTATGCATTATGAAAATGGTTTGTTAATAACTCATAATGTTTTATTTTTTTTTTTATAAATATTTACATACAGTACATATATATATGTACTGTAAGTTTCAAAATAAAATATTTTATACTATATTTACAAAATTGTTTTTATTTATATATAAAACATAATGTTTTGATACAGATATGTTGTAGACATTATATCTATGAATAACTATATAAATATATATTAATATTATTTACAAAATATATACAACAGCTAATTTATGTTCAATTGGTCCTACTAATTTTTACATTTTATGCAGTTTACATTTTCTATAGTTTATTTAAAATTTCCTCATTTTATACAGTTTATTAATAATTTTTACATTTTCTACAGTTTATTCACAATTTTTACATTTTATTCGTTGTCTTCAAGTAGGCGGTGATGTCCATAAGCCATTGTATTTATCTTATCACTCATCGTTATACGTTTATCGTCATAATTATTATAAGTCAGTTTGTTTGTTGATATGGTCTTTAGCTTGTGATTTTATGAACGGATCGATACATTCTCTCTGTATACATCCGGACCATCCTCGTCAAACAGGCACTTTATATGGTCATCAAACGTCATGTGGTTCTTAACCACATGACCTCTAATTCCTTTGGCCATTATCTTATCTACACCGTCTATCTTATACGCATAAGATTTCGCACGCAGCGCACAAAACTCTGTTATAGTCTTGCCGTCAGACTCATCTGAGAACAACCCCGTAATATTCTTCCTCTTGGTAACAAAACACGGGTAGTTAGCAGGCAGGTTAGAGGTGTCCGTACAATCTAAAAACCCCAATTTTTTTAATAGGTCCTCATAAAAGTTTCTTGTATCGATATGATACACTAACGAATCTGAAAATCATAATAATAATATAATAGCATACATATAAGAAAAATAATAATAATAGTAACANCGTAATATTCTTCCTCTTGGTAACAAAATACGGGTAGTTAGTAGGCAGGTTAGAGGTGTCCGTACAACCTAAAAACCCCAATTTTTTTAATAGGTCCTCATAGAAGCCTCTTGTATCGATATGATACACTAACGAATCTGAAAATCATAATAATAATATAATAGCATACATATAAGAAAAATAATAATAATAGTAACAATAATTTACCGGTATCGGTATACATAAGGTGTATGGAGTTTTTAAAATGTTTCCTCATGACATTGTAGTGGTAGTCATACATCATGGTTTTAGAAATAATCAGTACAGAAAATCCTGTAAAAATATAAAATAAAAACAAAATATACCATAAATTAAATATTATTTTAATTAAGGTACCCACCTATATAAATTGTTTTACAGAAATGTATTATCTTGTTCTCTAGAGCCACTGCACACAGATTTTCGCTATATGTAGTGCAGTGATTAAACGTAGTCCTGTTTATTAGTTTTTGTACCCACTTCTCACTCGATATCAACTCAATTTTAATCCTCCGTCTCATTGATTCCTAAATCTTACCTGCAAAATACAAAAATAAAATAATAACATTAAAGTTTTAATAATAATAATGAATTACCGAATACTGCCTTGTTCACGAATTTGTAAAAGTCCTTCTCAAATGTATTTGCGGCCTTCTTCCTCATTTCGGTATTAAGCACGATATATTTTTTAAGCCACGGCGACTAGTTAAATTGTAAGACTCGATGTACCTATAACAGAAAATATACACAAAAAGATAAGATAAATAAGATAAAATAAAAACATAAAATGTATACCTTTTTAACAATCAGTCCGTTAGCCATCGCCTGCCTCAGATTTCTATAATGTATAATGTAGTTCGTCTTCTCCTCCAACGTCGCCTTCAACATCCTCACCTTCGAGCCTGGTGGCACACCATTGTTAGGTAGGAAAGGTAAGTCATTGTGGTCGTCATGCGAATGCTTCGGAAATTCGATATCGACCTCGTACTACCGCCCAATATACGATGTGTCCGTCAGTTGGTTGAGACCGTCAAATGTGGGTTCCATCCACTCGAATCCGCCGCTTGGCATATACTCTGACGTCGCCTATCCATACAAGTTATTACCTATAACAAAGAAGAAATTAATATTTATGAATTATTTTTAAATATATTATGCTAACTTACAATCCTGGTAAATTAAACATGAATCGTCTTTCGTCTTATCATAGTCCGGTGTCGTATAATTGTTTGCCTTGCCGTACCTCTTACTCGCTTGTACCAACCCGCCTCGTATTCCTATAAAAATAATTACAATTCGGTTAATACATATATTTTTTTTATTTTTTTTTTAAATTAAATTAAAATTGTTTTACCATTTTCAAACATCAGCAGCATATCATAGTCCGACGGAAGTTCTAGTTTGACACCCGTATATTTAAGCATACAGTCAAAGCTGAACCCGGGCGCTGTGTAATAGTACGCCGGGTCCAAATTGTATGTCGTTTGACAGATATCCCGGAAATTATCAAAAACGTCAGTAAGAAGCATCACATCGATCTTCAGATATAAGTCTGAATATTCCCCAAACGTTTTGCATCCAAATTTTCTCCATACTGCCTTTGCGTGATTGTACTCTGTGCCCGCAATATTTTCGTCCATCAACGTGCTGAAAAACTCATCCCGTAATGTTTCTTCCTCCAATTTTCCCCAACTATCTGTATATACGTACAGATATACACCCTTCCTCGTAACAAGTGACAAATTTTAATTTCGATCCGGGTCCGGGCATAACGGGTAATATAGGTTTACGTCCACCACATATCAATTTATACTATTCTAGCGCCGCCTGCCCGCTCAACTTCAACCTCGGTCTGTTGTCGAAATTAGTGAAACATCTCTTGCAAAATATTACACGCTCTTTGTGCTCAGTTATCTGTGAGCGTACAAGACGGGAGAAGTCTGAGATGTATGTTTAATGAGATTTATCGTTTTTGAAATTTAAAAGGAGGTCCAAATGGTCATCTTTCTCCTCATCAGCTACTTTCAACGGAAAAACTGTTTGTACCGTTTTTTTTATTTTTCTGCTCTTCTTTCAACCCATAGACGTTGACCGAAACATTATTATTTTTTTCGAATTTTCTGACTTCCGTGAGTGCTGTTGGAAAAGATAAATTTTTAAAATTATATTTATCCTCCTGTACCATATACCCACCGTCGACTCGTTCTCTGTTTATGCCCGTAACGTGTTTCGCCAAAATCGCCAATTTAAAACATTTCTCGTCCGTATTTTAAGGGTTTATTACGGCCCGTTTATTCGAAATGTCTGTGGGTAGTGGAATACATAACGAACCGTCAATAGGTGTATATTTATATACGCCTAATAAAGTCCATCTATGGATTGAAGTGTTAGTCCACTACCCTGACTTTGATACATGTCCTGTTCGGATATTTTCTTCTACTATGTCTTCAATTTCGCTTTCGAAAAAAATAGCTCGAGCGGATGTTTTAAATGACCTATCCACAGTAGAATTATCTACCTGTGGCTTATAATATATCGATTCGAGTTTAAAATTGAATTTAATGGGATTATTTACAGATATTGTTTTGAGAAGTTGAATTATAGAAGGTTTGAGAGATTGGAGAAATATTTTGTAGTTGAAAATATTGTTTAAATTTTTGGTGTAATACCAAACGATCTTTCTTGAGTGAGACGAGTCGATTTCGGTGATTCCGGGGGCGTTCACTAAACCCATCCTAATTTTCTTCACCTTTACGGCAGTTTCAATGTTCTTACGTTTCGTACCTATCGGGGAATAAAATACCTAAATTATAACCTGTTATAAAAATCCACCAAACGGTCTGACAACCGGTGTAATACCGGAATACTTCAACTATTACCCCATAGGATGCGACGAGTGAATTGATCGATACAATGCCGGAATTCTCCAACTATTGTACCATTGATCGTTTCACATACCGTATGATGAGTTGTAATATATGGCTCGATTGAGAAATATTATGTCACGTGTTTAATAAAATAAAAAATTTTATAATACTACTGATGTGGCGGGGTAAAATAAAAAAAATCTTATTGTTGTCATAATCCATAAACAGGTAATCGTTTTCTTCGTTCGTTGTCCATTGCATTTGTGCGTTCTACAGGTGTTGTGGTTGTAGTATTCTGCGGGGCGAAAGATCAGCCGGTCTGTGGGATATTAGTTGGGGCGATTCTTCCCTCATGGTGCACAATTTTCACGTGGATATCCAATTTGTCTTTACGCGCAAACATTTTTTTGACATAAAACGCACTGAATTTTTACACTGGCGTGTGTTTTGGCGTGGCGCGTTAGGTGATTTCTTGTGTTAAACACTTTGGTGCATCTGGCGAATGTGCATGTGAACGTATTCATTTTTATATAAATATAAAAATGTACGAGAGAAAACAAAAACGTAATAAAATATAACAAGCGTTTTAAAAACTAAAACAATTATCACTCTTACAAAAACTGTGGAGAATAAAATATTCGAGAGGAGATGGTGTATGCGGCGGGTGTATAGAATATGTACTACTGACCGATAATCGTAATCAGGGATGTATTAAATAGGACTATCGAATATCGTATTCGGCGTCGGCAACGGCGGCGCGTTGAACATATCGTCTCCCATCAACGCCGTCAAGACGGAATTGGAACCGCATTTCNGTTGAGTTCACGGATCCTTCGGCTCACTTCTTCATTTAGTATATCTAAGTTGGGAAAACGGATCCCTCTAAGTGGTTCCTTCAGTTTTGGAAATAAATCAAAGTCCGGGGGACTTAAATCCGGCGAATATGGTGGGTGTTTGAGGCGTTCCCATCCATATTTCTCCAAAAGAGCGATGACTGGTGCTCCGATATGCGGCCGCGCATTATCGTGCAATATGGACACACCATTTTGTAACATTCCTGGTCGCTTTTTACGGATTTCTATTTTTTGCCAAGGAATGTTTTGTAGTAATCCCCGGTTACACTACTGCCAATTGGAACTCGAACAGTGACAATTATCCCAAGTTTATCGTAAGCAAAAATCATCATTTGTTTCACCTTTGTTTGCTGGCGACGAACTTTTAATTATACGATCATCACGGAATCGCTGATGCCATCTTCGCACCGTACTACGATCCACAGTATCCGTTCCACACACTTCATTTAACGCGGCATGAATTTCAGGCACTGTTGTACCATGAATCGTTTCGATTTTAATGTATGCGCGTTGCTCAAAAACAGAAATGTGAGCCGACGAATTGTTCTCACTTTCGTTATAGCTTTCACACTAAATGGTCTTATTAACAGTCCTGCGAGTGGCTGTGACTACGATAGCTAATCGATACGCCATATTGTGATGGATTGACCGAAAAGAAAGTTCAATCGGGGCATTGGAGGAATTCATAAGGCAAATAATGATACATTGAAATGGATTCAAGAAATGGACACAACCTTATGATCTTGTAAGTTGGATCCTATCTGTAAAACACAACCATGTATCGTGTATTATTTTAATTAGAATTTTATACTTTTATAGCTGACCTTTTATGTTGATTTTTTGTACACCAGTTATATTAAATAAAAAAAAAATTACAAAATTCTTCTATAATTCTTGCTTATCGTGATACTATGATATTATCATTGAACATAAGATATGACGAAATAATAACCGAATAGATTCATAGTGATATCATACTGAATATCTCGGTGCTCTCAGGGCTTGAATTTTCGTGTAGAATGTCATCCGTTTCTTTCATCTATCTATTATCTATGGTGGCATAACTGCAGCTCTATCAATTCGAGCTAAACAAGCTGAAAGTGTAGCTACCATGGACTATTATCGTGTTATATTTTTTATCATTGCGTTAATTGCGATACTAACACTACGAATTAATATTGACTGATACATTTAAAATTGTTCAATTTTGATCGAATTAATCTACATTTATTCGTAGAGAATTATGTAAACTTTTGGAGTCTATCTGATTTCTGTCTTCTTTGTAGTCTTTTTCTTAGATGTTCTATTTTATGTATGGTTTTTATTTTAATATAATTAGTACACTAACAATTCTAATAACTAAAAAGAAATTGCAAATTTAATCAGCCATGTTTATTATAACGTGTATTACGTAGTATTTAATATTTAAAATACAATGTATTTTAGATTCTGAGTGAAGCGAAGAAAGTTTTTGGTTTTCCAAAGATGTTTAATTTTATTTCGTTTTGCGGAACGACTTTTCTGCCGGAGGACTTGCTCCGAATTTATAAGGCCTATTTAATTATTTGACTATAATATGGCATATATATTGATGACAACGCATCACTATCAACTAAACTCAGCTCAGAATCATTTTTTCCTAAGCAATAGTTTATCGTTGATTACAGGTATAGATTAAATTACCTATAACAGTGACTGCGCCCATTTTTATTATCCTAGGACGTCATTTTTGTAGTTTTATTTCAAATTGAATTAACTGTATAATAATAATAGTAAATAATAGATTCAAATAATTGATAATCTTCATTTATGCGTAGAGAATTAACAAAACTTTTGGAGTAATAAACACATTGTTAAATCTTAAGGGTATTGAAAATCCATAATTAATGTATTCTTCATATCAATTTTCTTAGCCTTTCTTTTTCATTTTAGGGCTATTATTTTTGTTTTAAAGTATTAAGTTCACTAACAAATTTATGCATACATTTTGTGTCCATATAATAGACAAAATTGACATAATACGATAGTAAGACTAAAATACATCGCGTTTAAGAAGTCATATATAAATTTATAATATC